CCCCCCCCCCGCCAGCCAAGCGGCGCAGCGCAAAGCCATGTCTTCCCGGCGTACGCCCCGGCAGCCCCCCGGCCCTTGGCAGCCCAGGCTCGCCGCGCTTTGCTTGGCAACCGTGACAAAACGATGCATGGTCTCTCCGGCAGCTCCCAAAGCGAGAGTCCTTATCTTCCCAAAGCTGGAGGGGAGGGGAGGGAAGAGGTGGGGGGGGAGATACTAGTGCCGAGGGTCGGTGGGTTCGGTAAGCAGCCCCTGAGCCGGTGAGACGCACCCCAGCGAGAGATGCGGTCGGGAGGAACGGCGAGGAGCCGGCGCGGTTACACGTACAGGCTCGATCCTCCCATGCCCTGAGCCCGCAAACTTAATTGCGGCGGGTCCAACCGATCCTGCAGCGCCGCGGTGCCACCAGAGGAGCCATAGATCCCACCATTGCATCAGAACAGCCTGGCGGACCCCCCCCTCTCTCCCCAAGCAGAAAGCGCTAGTGCTCCGCAAGAGTCCCGGGTAAAACCATCCTTCCTCAGCCGGCGTCCCCCCCTTTTCCCTCCCCGTCCCCCCGCCGGCGCTCACCCCGCGGGGCCCCGGGCGAGCGAAGGTGCGGGTTTGCAGCAGCCAGACTGCCGGGCGCGCTGCCTGGCGGGCTTTGTAGTTCCTGCAGCCCTCGCCTGCGCCTGCCCACAGCATCAGGTGATGGGCAGGGAACCACCGCGCCCACAGACACCCCCCCCTTCCACGGCCGGCCCGCCCCGGGGTCCCGCATTGTCTGTCCGCAGCCGCCCGCTGCGGGAGGGGAGTGTGATGGGGGGGGCGCTCCCGGTGCTGGAGATGCGGGGGGAAGCGGGGAGGGGGCAAACCCAGGGGCGTTTTCTAAGGGAACGGCGCAGGGAACTGCCTTTGTCTGGGTGTGTTTTTGTGGGTTTTTTTTTTTCCTGTTCTGCGGTTTGGGAAATGCGATATTGCCCCCGCTGGTTCGCCGCTGGCCGTCGGGGGGGCAAAAGCCTCCCGCTCTGGTTCCCCAGCTCGGCGGTGGAGTCAGAAATGCCGCGGGGGGGGGGAGGCTGCGGGTGGGTCACCTGTTGCTGGGGGAGAGAGAGATGGGGCAGGGGGGCTGAGCGCCAGCAGCCCCATCCCACACCCTGTCACCCTGCCAGGGGAGCATTTTCTCCTGCTCCTTCCCTCCCGCAGGAACAAGCCGGTCCTCTCGCACAGTTTCCTCATTGTTTCCAGATGATGAAAATGTTTTTATCTCTCGGGTTCAGTTCAGCCTTCGTAGCAAATCGCTGGAGATCTGCCATGCAATACAACAGCAGCAGAATTCAGGGGAGCTCCCTCCTTGCTGCCCCTGGGGAGGAGAAGGCCCGTTTTACACGTCCTGGGTGCCCAGAAGAGACTCCTTGTTTGTGCTCAGGGAGTGGAATAAGGGAACATTCACTCAGGAATATTCCTATGACCTAATGTTACCTCCCTGAGTGAGGAGCCTGGGCTGTGAATCAGGCTTATTTGTGAATTGTTTTTGTAGAACCTTCTTTTTACTTTCTCTTTCTCCACTGACTTCGACAGAATATAGAAAAACAGCTTCCTATTTTAGGTGCCTAAATTAGATGGTTTGAGACTTGGGTTCTGTTCTGTGTGGTTTTGGTATCTTTCCTTGGCTGATGGAGAGAAAACAAGCTGCTTTTGCCGTGTTTGATTTTATTTTGCCCCATACAATAATATCTTGAATCTTTTTGCTCTTTTTACTATTTCTTCTTTCTAACGAGCTTCTGCTTGCCATAGCGTTTAGTTCATAAGTAATTTGTTCCAGTCCTTATTCTGTTTCAAGTGCAATATTTTAGCTCGTGCTCTGTGCTCATTTAAAAACAATTGCTACTTGAGATTTTTAGTCAATTGATATTTAACAAAATAACAGAAATGGGTTTGGTGTTTTGTTTTTTTTTTGGTGCAGAAGGGAGCATCTTGAGATGGTGCAGAAAACTCATTTGTTTTACTCAGGAATTAAATTTTGTGTATTTCCAGTCATTGTTCTGATTGTACTCAAAGCTTTTTTTCTTGTTCAGTGCTCAGCTTGTGAAGGCTGAGTGGAGCGTGTCTGAGCCTGTTTATCCTCCCTCCAAAATTCTGCTCACAAAATGACCCAGAGGAGCACTGTATGTTAGAAATTCAATTTCCAAGAAGGACATTTTTGTTAATTTGCAGCTTCAATAACTGTTTCTGGACATTGCAGTCTGAATCTCCTTCAGACTGCCTTTTTTTTTTTTTTTTCTCCACATTGTAAACCTTTTTAACTTTTGAGATGTCAAGTTTTGAAGCCTGTATATTTCAACATTTTTCCTTTAAAGTTGTAATCAGTCATGTATCTGGAAAGCTGTGTGCTACCTGAATCCAGCTTTTTGACTGATAATTAACAAGCAGGGTCATGGTGCTTTTTTCCCAGTTTTGATAAAATGTAGTTCAGAAGGAAAGATTTCAAGCTGTGGTAGAGACTTGTTAAGGTCCAATTTACCACAAAAACAAAACCAGAACTGATTTTGCAGTAAGCTTTAATCAGATCAACTGAAATGTTTGACTTATTTTAAATTCCAGTGTTTACATTCAGTGTGTACAAGTAGACTTTCCAGACCTCTTGATGTGTGTTTCAGAGTTGATTAGAAATCAAGATTGAAATGTTACTCAGTCTATTAAAAATCAATGCCCAATGGATTTGTAATTTTGCTAGGGGAAGAACACAAATTAACCTTTGTCCTTGGCCCACATGCTGCTGTTCCACCCCCAGCCTGCCCCCCTCCTGCCCCCCAAAACAGCTGGCGTAGCAGAAAGTGTCCAGCCAGCACTGCCACGGGATCTGGGATTGATCCCCCAGGAAGGAAAGGTACAGACTGCCTGACATCCCCGTTTCTTGCCTCCACCTGACAGTCCAAGCAAGACCTCACACCTTGTTTGCAAATGCTGTCATGCTGCCTGTGAGCACCTAACACTGCACGGCAGCGTTGGAGTGATGCTCACAGTCTTAAAATGCATGTTGCACAAGCCAAAGCATGTTTTTCATAAAACATTTGCAAACTCGAAATGTAGTAGTCTGATTAATTTCCTAAATTAAGAAAGGCACACAGGAAATAAGTAAGATAAAAAAAAAAAAGCCTTTCCACTTTCGATGTAACATGAAGTCTTGTTTATAGAAAAAGTATCTGTTATAGAAAAAGTATCTGTTGCTTTAATTATGATAAATGTATCTCCAAGTGTTATTTTAATAGAGATATTTTCAGGAAATGAAATAGCATATGATGAACTTGCAGTGCTGAGGGAAAGTTGTGCCTGTCTTCTTGCCTGTTTTGAAGGAAGCAGCAGAGCTCCTGCTGCCTTCAGGAGAGCCAGCGTTCCACTCCCGTGTCAGCCTGACTGTAGTTTTGTGCGTGGCACCGGCTTATTGTGGTTTGGCATATCTGCCTAGACAATGAGCAAAAGAAAACACACCTCATCAGCTGTGAAATTGGTTAATGCGTGTTTGTAAAAATCTTGTGCAATGACCTGTTAAGGATGAAGTATCTTTTTGTGTTTACTTAAGGAAGTCTTCCTTCCTCTGCTGCCCCCTGAGTCGAGCTGCAGATGGCAGGTATCATTGCAGGCTCACCCTGGACCCTACAGACAAAGACTTCAGCTTTTGCAGCTTGGCCTGTGGTGATCAGTTGGCCTGGTCAAGAGACAGTTTGTGTGTTCTGTACAAATTATAGGAACACAGATTTCAGACAAGCCAGACAAAGGGGCTGGCAAGTGCTGCTCACGGAGGGCAGCTCCTTGATCCCCATACTGTGTTCCGTCTTTAGTCATAAGTTGTAAGAAGCTAAAATAATTTCGTGTTGACGGTGAGATGCAGAAGAGCAGCAAATGCATAAATGCATAGGAATGTAGATAGAGAGTTGGAGAAAAAAACTTGATAAACAGACTAACAGCTGCTGTCACATTTCCATTTTGACAGATGTTCAGCAAGCTCTTTGTCACGGAGAGTTTCTTGGTTTAAACCCCACAACTACAGTAATGGCACGTGGTAACTAAGCGTTATTTTTCTTCTGCTGTTTGATTTCAATAAAGGCACTGGATAGAAAACTACTCCTAATAGCTTTAAATGGTAAAGTGTTGTTAATGATATTTAGGATTCTTTGAGGACACTAAGTAAATGGAACCCAGAGTACGAAAACTATGGCTTTTTTTAGGCAAAAAGAGCAAACCTTTTCTGTATTCTGTGTTGTATAAGTCTGGAGGATGGTTGTTCCCTATGGAATACTGCTGATGGCAGCAGTTCAGAATATAACGAGCATCTTCAGAGGAATTACTGTCGCTACTGTTCTTGAAACTTTAAGATTTGGTCCAAAGCTCAGTGCAGTCAGTGGAAAAAGTGCCCGTTCAGTGACTTCATACCTTAATGTTTACCAGCTCTCATTCTCTCATGATAAGCAAAAAAAAAAAAAAAAGTACCCAACTCCCTACCCTAAAAACAAACTCAAAATGAAATGCGTAAAATAGTCTATTGAATTGTCTTTTTAAGAATTAATTGCAAAGGTGCTCTATGGAAATAACGTAATTTTATTTTGTGAAGCATTTTTTTTTGTACACACTACATTTAAAATAAAACTGGTCAGAAGGTTTTTGGTGGAAAGTGATGATTTTGTTGAAACCAAACTGTTCTGAACAACATGTGAATTTTAATAAAGTTTACCATTAAAAAGGCCTGATATGTGAGCATAAAATGTTGGAAGTCTTTTTTATGGAATGGTAGCTGCTACTGGCATTAAATAATTTAAATTATTAATATTTTAACAAAAGATTCTTTTTAAAATCTCATCTGAAGTTGACTTGCTTCACAAAGCAAATAAATCTTTTTTTAAAAGCACCATTTTTCTGGGCCATAAATCTCATTTTGTAGGCTGTGCTTCAGCTTGATTAGGAGAGGCATCTTCCCACCCTAGAGGGTTTCGGCGACATGTAATTCATTGTTATAAATTATGTGGTCAAGGTCACCATATTGGACACATTTGCTTTAAGAATCAAGTAAAATGAAGCAGTTGAATGGAAAAGTTCAAGGATGTTTTTTTCCCTCATTACTAATATAGCAACTTACTAAAATACAGGAGCTAGAAATTAAAATGTTTCTTCCTGATTACAAAAAGAAGCACAGTAGAGGTATAGAAAAGATATGACTTTCTTAAAAAAAAACTTTAAAAATATTGTTTAATGAAGCAGGCTTCACTTAGACTCTGTCACCATGCATTGTGGTGGCCAAGCAATGCTGACATTGAGCTGCAGAGGTGGGAAGGGGCTGCAGTGACTGTGTGCACGGGTGGGCTCTGAGTACCTGGGAAGCTTGGAGATGCAGTGACGCCCTGAGTGGGCTCATAACCATGTCCTCGTTGTCTGCAATAGCCAGCAGCATTGGTAGAAGCTGGCATCCTCACGCTGGTGGTGTGGCCTCTTTGTTTCAGGCAAGCTGCAATGTGCGAAACCTAAACTTGAGACAGGAAGTCAACCTGAATGTGGGCTTTGTGAAACCAAGACATCAATGTGTAACAACATTTTGAAGAACAAAATGCTTTGCAATTGGGAAACGCTCAATATTTAGCTGTACTTGGAGAACAAAGCCAACATTTGTACCACTTAAATGTTGTTCTTGCCCATGTTCAGAGTAATGAGATCTCAGAGGACTTATTAGGCACAACCCTGATTTCTTATGAAAGGACTCAGATTACAGCTACCCTGAAATCTACCGATGAGAAGCACAGTAAGAGGGTTAAGTATTGTAAACTGTTGTGATTACTGAAATTGCCAAAACCGCAAGCATGGAAAACAGCATTAAAGCTTGTCTGTAAAATGAATGGATTTTTATATAGCATGTTCCTCTTACCAGTTATATACCGTAACAGTACAACTTACTTCATTCATGGTAACATTGCAAATATTCTCATGTAGCTGTTCTTATTATCTGTAATTTTTCTCTGATCCATTTTGTGCTTGGTATGAATGCCCCAGTGTTTTAGATACAACTGTCATTCTCTAGATAGATAGTACTTTATCTGTGGAAAGAATAGAAGTCCGACTGAATATAGCTGACTAATTAGGAGTTTGTTACCAATCTGGATGCTTTTTATAACCTTTCTGACACAAGGTTGCAGCGCATTTTTAGGAATTTTTCAATCTGCTGCATGTTGTCAGCTCATAGGCAAGTCTGAGGCTGTCAGTGCTCGGAGCAGAGCTCCCAGGGCACTCCACCACAGGAGAGCAGAATGCTTCCACACTGTCTGTAGTGGTGGGGAGAAATGAAACTTAAGAAGTGCTTCTCTCTCCTAATCGAATGTGGATTAGATATGTGAATTGTACCTACATAGGGATTATCTTCTTGTAAAGTTATAGTTGTACACTAAATTACTGTAGTGTGCAAGAAGCTGGTGTGGCAAGGGTATACACAGCCTTCCAGTGAAGGGGGGAAAGAGCCCCAAGATCTCAGACCGTTCAGATCAGCTGGACTGTGTTGTAACAACAGCAAAGAAAAGAAGCCATCAGGAACAGACATTTGAAAAGTCATGTGTAGCTGTTCATAAAATAGAGAAATGGCATAACTTTCTTATTTTCTATTTTAAATTAGTATAAAGCACATTTTAAATGAGGCTTGGTCTTGCAAAATGGCACTCACTATTGACTCTAAGAGAGGAAGTACCTATACCCTTAAAAAGGTATTCATTGTTTTTTTCTCAGTTTTGGATTAAAGCTCTGAAATGATGCACAAGAAATAGCCTCGGACTTTCCGAACTCAAAACTAGCAATAATAACAACAACAAAAAAAACAACAAGAAAAATATCTGTCTGGTAAATCTTAACAATCAGTTGTTTAGGTACAAATACTGTCTTGTTTGCATTCAATAAGGAAAATATTTGTGTTACTAGAGTAGTTGAACAGCTGTCACTGACTAGTTTATTTGCTCTATGAAGAAAGGCAGGGTATTGTAACAGATCTGTTAGTTCTCTTGTACATTCATTAACTTCTTTACTAGATACTGTTACTATACACAGCAGAGCCCCCTGCTGTTACAAAGACCCTCTGAAACACCAAAAGAGGCTTTCTGTGTTTTGCTGCGCCTGGACATTCTCAGTTAAGACGAAAAAAGAAATCCAAAAGTATTCTCAAGGTCCTGGTTGCATGGCTCTGGTCTTGATTGAGGAGTGAAATCTGGATGCCCTGCCTACATAGAACACATTTGTGCTTTTGGCAACAGTCACGGTTTATATAAAAAATAAACCTGTCTTGTCTTTGTGTATCTCGGGAGGAAGGCCTCTGCTGGTAACGGACTGCTACAGGCTGAAAACAACGTGTGCAGAGAGAGGGAAACAAAAGCCACCCTCTGAAACACAACTTAAGTAGTAAGAAGAAAAGGAAAAGGGCAAATCAGCCAGTTCACTAACTCTGTACTCGCGCAGAAACCACAACACACACTTGGGAGAGCCCACTATGCTCATAAGTACAACGTTCTCATGCCCTCGCGTGGGAACTGGGCTGAAGAGAGAGACTCATGGAGGAGGAAGAAGAAAAATCAGTAGGTTGTACTGTCATAGGAAAGGATATTGCAAATGATGTTTGATTCTTTAGTCATTGTACAGCACTGGTAGAAAGGATAGGGAGGGATGGCATGACAAACTGGGAACCTGAAGGATACTTTCTAGGGCATGAATGTGATTTACCTCTCAGAAATTCAGGCCTGCTGAGGTAACAGAGGTCTAGTGCTTTGCCTGTTGCTTCAGTCCTGGCAGTGGTTCTTTTCAGGAAGAGAAGTTTGTGTATGAGGCTGCAGTAAGGGTGACTTTACAGTTGAGGCATTGGACATAGAATCAGGAAAACTAGATCAAACAAAACTGTGTACCCATATCTTCGATTTATCTATATGAGACAAAGTTACTACTCACATAAGCTCATTGTAACTTACAGCATCTAGATCCCTGCAGCATGTAGAACCCCCCATCGAGTATATTTGTGTGGAGAGATGCTAACCAGATGTTCAGTGATGTTTTCCCACTGTCAATATTCAGGATTTAAAACACTTATATTTTGACCATATGTATTTTATGAGGTTTTTTTTTTTGTCTGCCTACAACTCATATACCCATCGTAGCATTGCTTTCATTCTGTGACTGTGCACTTAAAGTCTAACTACTATGTGTTCCAGTGGTGGAAATTTGAGTTGTAGAGCAGTTTAATAAGCATTCACCCTCTTTTGCTCTATGTGAACGATTTAGAATCAAAATGTTGAGCTTATTTTTTTGCCTTTACTTTTTACCCCAGCAAAAATACAAAGGTATCTGGAGCACTTATCTCTATCAGCATTTAGTTTATCACCTGAAATTAAATTAATTTGCATTGCAATAACATGAAAGTATCTACTGCAACCAGTTGTGACATGTAGGGCTTCCAGTGGAAAACAAGTAGAAAAAACATTTATCAAACAGACCCTTCTGGTCATTTAAATCTCACAACAGTTTTACATTAAATCATTTTATTTAAGAATAGTGCAAAACAACAACCAAGAAATAGTACAGCTTGGCTATTACCAGAATAGATTTTTCAGTGTCTTTAATAAACTTGTGCATATTACTGAATACAAAAAGATACAAATATTTACACGAAAGACTTGTGAGATCAAGTACAGTGAAAAGTACAGTATTTTGTATAAATATGGAGCATATTCTGCTTCATTTAGGGGCTGTCTTCATGCAGTCTCTGTCCATTACAAGCTATGCCCCCTCCACTAGGATGCTTTGAGATGGCTTCTCCCTCTTCAGGATGACTGCTAAAGGAGAAGGAGAAGATGTTCTCCTGGGCCAGGTGGGAAAAATGGAGCCTGAACAGATTAGAAGTGATTAAACCCCTTGCATTTATTTCCTCAGTGCAAAATAGCACAATCCAGAGTTCTGTTCTTCTGTTTTACCCAGGAGCTCTCAGTGGAGATCTGCCCCTGATAATCCCAGGAGAAGACAGTAAATGACTTGGAGTGGTGGGACTCAGAGCCAGAGCTGCAGCCTCCTGCTTCAAACGGTTAAGTGTGAGAAACCTGCTCCGAGGAGATCACGGTTAGTCCCACTGCAGTTCTTTAATATTTGGCAGCTGCATTTCAAACACTGACCTTCAAAAAGAATTTTCTGTTGAGACTTTGACGCACTTTTCTCCTGATGACATTTTGCAGTACGAGAAAAAAATAATCATCCAAACTCCTGTTAATAGCAGCGGTGTTATTATCACTTTCCTCTTTTTATTTTTTTAACTCCAGAGGTAAATGGTTCAGATATAAGTATTCTGTAGGAATGCAAAGCTGTTATGGTTTTTCAGGCAAGAGGTATATATCTTGAAGAAATTTTGAATTTAAGTGAATATTTACAGTTGCTGTTTCTTCAAAAATGTGTTTTACAAGAAATATAAAGGTGCAGTTAGTTTATATTGTGCTGTTCATGTTTTCAGGTGGGAGTGATGGGAAAAAGAGCATACTAACGTAAAAACATCACGTTGGCAAACATCCCAACTTTTAGAGGCGTGACAGCACAGCCGGCTCCCAAAGATACGAGGGGCCGCAGGCGATAACCCCCCTCTCCCCCCTCAGCTTTAGCCTTTTCTTTTTCCGAATTGAGAGGAAAACCGGAAAAAAAAAAAAAAAAAAAAGCAGCGCGTAAGGCTCCCTGAGGGATCGCCCGCTCCGGCCTCCCTTCGCCCTGCCGGTGCAGCCGGGGAGGGAGGCCACAAAGGCGCCGCCCCGTCACTCCTTACCTGCCGTTCAGCCGCCGACCGCGGGCCCCGCCGCCGCTCCCCTCCGCTTCCCCTCAGTGCCGGGGGCGCGCGAGCAGCCGTTAACCGGGGCGCGCGAGCGGCCGTTACCAGCGCGCGCGGCTGGCCGTTAACCGGCGCGCGCGCGAGCAGCCAATCCCGCGGCGGCGGCGGCATCAGCTCCTGGCGCACGCGCTCCGCTGAGGCAGGCGGAGCTTCGGCGGGGGAGAGGCTCCTTTGTCGGAGGGGCCGCGCCGGCGGCGGGCGGAGCCCGCGGAGGCTGTCGCCGGCTCCCCGGCCCCCTCTCTACCCCGTTCCTCCCGCCCTCCCCGGGGCGGGGCGGTCGGCGCTCCGGCGGCGGTAACAGCAGCAGCGAGCATGTCCTCGAGCAGGGCCAAGAAAGTGAAGATGGCCACCAAGTCTTGCCCGGAGTGTGACCAGCAGGTGAGGCGCCTGCCCGGCCCGCTCCCCCCCTCTCCCCGCCACCCCGAGGCTCAAGCGGCACTCTCCCATTGAACGGAAGGAGCCTGCTCTCTCCCGCCCCACCACCTCCGCCCGTCCCGAGGCGGCCCGCCGTCGGGGCTGGCTGCCGTCGCAGGCCGGGGGTGCCGGGGGGC